TCCTTGGGTCTTTACCTCCTGAAAAAGTACATTTGCATTTCTTATGTCTAAATTTAATTTTATAATATTTTAGTCTGCAGCCAAAATAAATGTCATTTTTCACCACTCTTTTTCCATATGTTTATTGACCTAACACATCTACATGCGTTTAGGGCCCTGTTGAAGCCCTAGTGGGTTCAAGAAATAGAGCATCTCGGGTAAACCTATGACTTCTTTTTTGGATTGGATTGGATTGGATTTATTCGATGTAAACACCAAGGATAGCCCACGAAAGTCTAGAATAAGACTTATTTCCGGTGGGGTCCTTCTGGGGGTGATTAGGCCATACACCGGGAGGCAATCCCCTACATTTTCATTAAATATGTTCCTCAAATACTTGTCATCTGATTTTACAGTATATCTCTGTCCAAAGAGTACTACAGTGATACAATTTTTAACGTAATGATTACAGTAAGATATTGCATCTTAGATTGTCTTTGTAAATTTTAGTTGATGATTAAAATAAATGTGTGTTCGATAAGTAATATAATGCGAGCTTTTGTGTTTTTAGTGCATTTTGATGGTAAATTATTAGGTTTTAAAATGCCTATTCCAGATAGCATGTTCTAAACCAGATTATGAAGTCATTCAGACGTAAAATGGACGGTAACAAACATCTGATTGAAAACGAAGGTGCAACCTGCAGGAGAACTCTATATATAACAATATTAATAATAATAATAATAATAATAATAATAATAACAATAACAATAATAATAATAATAATAATAATAATAATAATATTGATGATGATGATGATGATGATGATGATGACGGTGGCGGCGGCGGCGGTGGACGGGGTGGTGGCAGCAGCGGCAATCACATATTGATGTGCGTATTAGGAGAAAATGTTTGTGCTGATTAACCATCCAGACGCGTGCACAGATCTACATGAAATATACTGTACCATAGTGCCTTTTTTTTTAATGTCTTGCAATTACTAGCATAGTTTGAGTACCTAATTATGTCCATTAAAATATCAAAAAGAAAAAAATGTCTACAAAATGTTCGACGCACTACAAAAGCAACACATGCGAGAAATCATTCTAATTACAATAGTACAGTACAATGAAATTAAGAGAATATAGTATTTACTATGCACTATGTAAGTGGAACATACTGTACCACTTCAGGGAGTGTGGCTGATGAAAACGTGTACCGTATGTTCTATAATTATAATTGGATAAAATATATTATAAAATGACCATGTTAATCACAAAATAATATATTCAGTTTTATTTTTACAGTTGCAGGTTCAAGGGGAGGGTGCCCTCCTCCCCCTCCCAATTTTTCAAGAAAGAAAAATGTATTCGTCCAATAGTGGCATTTCCTGCAATCTGGAGGTGCCATAATCATTAATTTTCTCACCTCAACCCCAACCATGGTGGGACTGAGGTAGTATAGACTCTCCATCTGTAAAAGTCCCTCTCTGGGGCTCCCTCAATTTCGAATTCCTGGATCATCCACTTGTTTAGAATATTAATTATATGGCAATACTTTGGCCGACTTCGCTTCACTGATTATCTAATGATATTTGGTGGATCAGGTCCTGTCTCTTATACACATCTAGATGTGTATAAGAGACAGATACATATATTTACACATACATATATATACACATATATATACATATATATAGGCCTTTATATATATAGGCCTATATATATGTATATATATATAGGCAAACGGCCACATAATGCAAAACTATTTAAAATTAAAACGGAACAGCATTATGTGGCCGTTTGCTGTTTTGATATTTAGCACACAATAATTAGGTCTGCAGTTTTACCATGAAGGTTGTCTTATTTATAACATAGGGAAAAATGTGTTACGATCGTCTGACTCAGTTTATTGTTTGATTAATTAATGCAAATGGTCAGAGGCCTACCGTATTGAACAATAAATTTTCAGCAATTAGAAGGATTTTGATTAAAAGAACTATAACAATAATAAGTAATACTGATGATAATGACGATACTGCTACTGCCTTTGGGGAAGCCGCCTGGTGCCATTATCATAATTTTTCATCAAAGTCCTCCATTTACGATTTTAAATTCCTGGATCCGCCACTGACTGCTGTAGTTACCACAATTACAATAACATATTATTATATATATTGAAATATAAAGTTAAACATATCATGATAACCAGTGGCGGCACTGCAGAGGGGCTAAGTGGGAATAGAGTTCCCCGTCGGGAAGGCATGAGGTCTGGTTCCACCCCCAATCCCAGTTGGGGACGAAGAGAGTTTCGCCGGAGTAAAAATAAAGAACATTTTAAGAAGTTTATGTAAAATGTAAATGAATTTAATATAGCCCTATCACAGTAAAATAATTAATAAAATCATTCTCAACGGTCATGAACATCATTCTTAATACCGTACTGTATCCCAGCAGAGAACCCATATCCACTCACATTCGAAATTTTTTTTGGAATTAGTAGAATGCTGGACGATCTTAGGTGGCCGCCCTGAAAAAAAATTTGGCATCAAATAGAAAGAGTACACGAAGAGCACACACGCAAGACGAGTGACCATAATTTTTCCCACAGTAAACGAAGGGGGTGGGTAGCCACCCTATTAATCCCCTCCCCACTCCAGATCCGCCACTGATTAACAGACCAGTGCTGGAAAGCACATCTGAGCATCTAGAAAAAAAATAATAATCAGTCCACAAAAAAAGAGACAGGAGACAAATAAACCAGGACATTATCTGCCACAACATTTAGTCTACTTT